AAAGCCGTGGCCCCTGGTGCTGGGGGAGACTGGGTGTCGGGGTGGGAGCGGGGCACCTCCTGGGACCCGGGGTAAAGCAGTGCCTTGGAAGAGGCCGGGGCGTCTTAGTGTCCTAGTAGGCAGGGTCGGAAGGGACCTGAGCAGGTCAAGTCCAACCCTCTGCCGTGGCAGGGAAGAGCGCGGGGTCAAACGACCCCGGCGAGGTGACTGTCTGGCCCCCTTTTGAAGACAAAGTCGTTTCCCGGCCTCGGGCAGTGGCTAGCGCGCGGTGAAAACCCAGCCGCCCGCTCCTCGGGGAGAAGCGCTTCGCTCGGTGAGGCCCGTTCCTGGCTGCCGGGCACGGGCGGGTGGGGTGGGACGGGCTGTCCGAAGCCTGCGGCGTCCCCAGCAGAGGGGGAATCTGCGCCGCCCTCGGTGGGAGCTGCAGGTGCCCGTCGCTGACCAGGCTGGGCCTGCCCGCGTGGGGCAGCTGCAATGCGCCCTGTCCCTCCTCTGCCTTCCAGGGGTGCGATGGCCCTGGTGCCACTAGGCCAGGATGCCGCAGCCCTGGCACGGGAGGCACATCTGCCCTCAGCTGCACGGCTCAGTGTAGATCAGGGTCCGCAGCGACCTCTGCGCTCCAGGGAAGGGACGTCCACGGGGCGGAGGGGTACTGTGGGAGTCTGGTTGTGGCTGCTGTCGGCTCCAGGCTGTTTGCCGTGAGTGAGGCTGGAGACTCAGGGATGACTTGGGTAGCTGTGGCTATCTTGGGCCCAGCCAGAGATCTCTGCAGGGGCTGCGTTGGTCTGGTTGCACTGCTTGGCTTTTTCACTGTGGCTGTGGCCCTGGGCTGGGACTGACCAGCTCCATTCCTGGCAGTGCAGAAGTGGGCACCAGCCCGTTTTCCAGCTCTCCTTGCTGCTGTCATCAGTCGCAGTGTTTCTGCATCTCTACCTCCCAGTCCTGCTGTCGTGCAGACGTTGCAGTGGATGTCGTGGCAGCAGGTTGCACAGTGGGTTTGCTCTGGCCTTGAGGCTGGGCTGTGGCAGCTGATGCTGCCACTCTGGGGGAAAGGAGCCAGACTGTGCGGCTCTGGGACAGGGAAGGGTAGGATGGGGCACATGTCTCGAGGGGCCCTAACCAAGTCCTCTGCCCCTTTCCAGCCTACAGGGAGCTGCTGGGCCAGCCCCTTGGCCAGGCAGTGCGGGGCTGCAGTGTGCGTGGCATGGAGTAGGTGCCACCATCCTCTCCACCCCAGCAGGAAGCAGCAGGAGTTGGAGCCACTGGGTTGTGATACAGGAGCCAGGGAATGGGGATTGTGGCAGAGGGGCCTGGTGGGAGCTGGGCTGGGACTGTGGTGGGAGGACCTGCAGAAAGTGTGTGCTGGGCAGCTCGCTCACTTGCTTCTCTCTTGCTGCAGCTGTGATGGCATCAGCCGTCCCTCCAAACTTCTCCTGGGTGGTGCCCGACAAGCTGGCAGGGCTGGCAATGCCGCGGCTGCCTGCACACTACCAGTACATGCATGAGCACGGCATCCGACACCTGGTGTCGTTGAGCGAGCGCAGCCCACCCTACCACGACACCTGCCCTGGCATCCAGGTCCATCGCCTCCGCATCCCTGACTTCTGCCCCCCATCCGTGGAGCAGATCCAGTGTTTCCTGCAGATCGTGGAAGACGCCAACGCCAAGGGGGAGGTGCGTCCCAGCCAGGGCCTCGCACACATGCACAGGCGGCCTGCCAGGCAGCAGGCCGGGTGCTCAGGCGCTGCCCCACCAGTTTCAAAACAACATGACCTATCATGTCATGATTATGTAGGCTGTTCCTGTCCACTATGCATATGCACAATAAGGCACCTTGGGGCGATCTCCTTTCTGCCCCAATGGTGCATGCGTAGTGGAAACACTTGACCAGTTTGAATAATTGAAATTAGCTACTTGTTTAAGTGGGCAGCAGGGCGCTTGTATTGACGCCCCAGCCTGGGTAAAAAGCTGTTAGGAGGAAGGCGGAAGACAGGGCACCATGTGCAAAGACATGCAGTGGCCTCAGGCAGTCTGCAGAGCAACTCCATCAGATAAGTGGGGGAGAGGGGGATTGAGGCTCCTGTAGGAAGGGAGCAGGGCAGGCTGCTGCCCAGCCAGGTGGGCCTTGGGACTGGGGCCTCAGTGTGCGGCTGCAGGGCCCCAGAGGGGAGCAGGACGGGGCCGCAGGTAGCTTGTCCAGGGGAGGGGGAGGGCCAGCTCCCCGCTGCCGCGTGCATAGGAGGGGAGTTGGGGCACGTTTCCCCTCTTTGGCTTCCCCACGCTGTGCCCCTGGACGGCCCGCCAGGATCTCATTGTCCCACAGCCCAGCCTGGCTGGAGCTATGTTCACAGTGAATGGGGTCCCGGCCGGGTCGGGTCGTGGAACAACGAGCCTGGTGGCACCGCCAGGGGCACAGCACTGGGCAGCCAAGTGGGGCTTGTGGCCCCCTGATCTTTGCAAAGGGCACCAGCGGGCTACAGCTACAAGCTGCACTCTGCCTGCTCCATGTCTCACTACTGCCTTTGAAAGCGGTGTGGCTCGGCGCCCTGTGCCTCGCTGCCCGGCCCGCCCAGCAGTGGGACTCACATGGAGCCATGTTGCTTTCAAAGGCAGCAGCGAGGTGTGGAGCAGGCAAAGCGCAGCTCGCAGCTGTAGCCCACCGGTGCCCTGTGCAAAGATCAGGAGACAATGGGTCCCCCTTGGCTGCCCAGTGTTGTACCCCTGGAGGAGTCACTCTTCCCAGGGACGATGTGGGGCAGGCACAGGAGTCCCGTGGGCTCCATCCTCTCTGACCTGGCAGTACAGCTGAGGCTGGCCCCGTTCCAGGCCCCCCTGGGCAGTGTGGGGCCAGGGCCAGCGTGTGGCAGTGAATTTACAGGGACCACCAGCGCCTGGCAATGACTCCAGGTGCGGGGGAAGGGATGGGCACAGCGGGCCCCGGCCCTGCTCTGATCCCAGCCCCATTCCTCCCACGGCCCTTCCCCCCTCCCCTTGCAGACTTTCCAAGGGGGGGTGCATGCATGCATGCATGCACACATGCACATTCAGACTTCCCCCCCCCCCCCCCATTTTTTTTTTTCTCCTCCCCCCCCCCCCCCC